CAGCACAAACACAGACCTACTTTAAGCTATGCATCAGCTGCCAAACAGAGCACAAACATGTCAGCAAAATTAAAAAGGAGAAAATTAACCTTTGTAGCTTTTTCTTCTAAGAACTAAATTAAATCGAAAAACAACAACACACTAATTATTGAAATTCCAAATCTTCGTAACTCTCTCAATGAAATTATGGCCTCTTTATATGAAGGTCTGAAAGGAGATATTGTTGCAGCCAAACAATACTTTAAAAAAGAATTAAGATCTCATTTAGAAATTGTTTTTCTAAACCAAGATCGATTATCTTATTATGCCACTAATGGCATTAAAATTTTTAATAAAACATATTATGGCTATATCCCAACAGATGCTCGTAAATTCTTCTTACCAATTAAAGTAAGAAACGTACCATTAGGAACCAAAGAACATATCTCCAGTCTGGTAAAAGAAGCCTTTGAAAATTTTGGGAAAATTGTTCAATCAAACCTTTACTTATTGAAGGCACTTCTTATATGACAGATCAATGGATCGTCATCTTCGATAATACTAAAGACTCAAAATTAGAACAAAGAATTCCTTGTTTCACATATATAAATGATAACAGAGTGACTACCAAGTGAAAGAAGGCACCAAAAGTCTGTTATTTTTGTGACCAAACAGGGCATATTAAAAAAGACTGTGCACAATTTCAAGAAGCAAAAAATCTAAAACTACATTACCAAGAATTCAAAAGAAAAAGTGTACAAAACAGAACACCTATTAAAAACCCAACAGAGGATAACCCATACATGGAAGAAGTAGAAAACCTTTTAACTCAAGAAGAAACCCAAAACATGGACATGAATGAAACTTGTTCACAAGAACAAGTAACAGAAAAAATTATATCAGATTATGAAATAAATAGCAAAACAGATACTGTTTGCACAGAAATCTCTATCAAAAATAATCTTAATATAACACAAAGACCAGCAATCAACAATATGAATTTGGAAAATGCACAACCAAATGGACAAGAAAAAGTAAATGACCCTACTTTTACATTAGTTATACACAAAAAAAGAAAACATAAGGATTCAAAGCCTTACAAAGTAACCAACAAAAAAAATTACCAGGATGATCCAAAACAAAGAGCTAGTGGAAGCTCTAAAACTAACTAATTTATTTTTAATGAGCTATCACTCAATCAAAATCGCTACATTAATTGTTAAAGGCTTAAACAATTTAGACAAACAGACTAAAACATTAACACTTTTAAAATCTTATAGATTAGATATTATTTTTTTACAAGAAACAAATACTTTTAATGCTG